CCCATTAACCACCCACCACTCCTCCCCCACCCACCACTCCCGCCCCACCAACTACCAACCCACCACTCACCACCCACCACTCACCCATACACAACCCACCATCACCCACCATTCATTAACCACTCACCAACCACCCACCCTTTAACCATCCACCAACCACCCACCAACCACCAACTACCGGCCCACCACTCACCCATTAATCACCCACCAACCACCAATCACCAACCACCCATTAACCACCCACTCACCCATTAACCACCCACCAACCACCCTCCAATTAACAACCCACCAACCAACGACTACCCACCACCACCCATTAACGACCCACCACCCACCACTCACCAACCATCCATTAACCACTCACCACCCCCCCACCAACCACCCACCCACCACCCACCAATTAACAACCCACCAACCACCCACTAATCACCCACTCAACACCAACCACCCATTAACCACTCACCACCCATCCCACCCGCTAACCACCCAACACCCACCACCCACCAACGACCCACCCACCACCACCCACTAACCAACCATCAACCACCCACCAACCACCCACCAGATGAAACTCAGAAGTGTGGTCATAGTAGTCCTCACAGCCCTGGTAGTATCCGAGGTGGGACTCGAACCCTCGGTACAGTGGCGTGTACTCCCACTGGAACATACCCAGGTGCCACTGCGGATGGAACAAAGTGGGAAGGAATGAGAGACAGAAAAAAACCACAGCCGGTCACGGATGAGTGAATGTCCTCGGGCGAAGGAAAAAAAGATCAGCTTATTCGAAATTCAACTCACTTAAGGTTTTTATCATGTTCTCGCAGTATCGTTTATTCCACCAATTAACCCGGTAAATCTACCAAGAGAAAAAGTAACAGAGTCTCGGATGAAAAAAATCCCAGTGAAGCTGACTAGAGAAAAAGTGACATACTATTTTTTTTAAAATAATAAATAAAAAATAAAAAATATAATAATCATAAATAAACCCAGTAAATTTTTAAAGAAAAAAAAGGTGACAGAGTCACATAATATATATCTTTTAAAGAAAAAAGAAAAAGTAAATCTAACAAGAGAAAGAGAGACACAGTGACATATGTTAAAATGACAAATTCTAAAAAAGAGTACCTGCGACGACAACAAGAGAAACAAACATGTTTCCCTTCCGGACACAAGACCATGTCAAAGACTGACTCGGAACTTTCAGGGTTCTCTGACATTATATATATATAGATACACACATATAT